TTCTCCAACAGGTCCATGTCTCTCCTGTAACCTGGTTTTCGTCTTAGGCTGAACCACACTGCCCTGGTTCTCTCATGGAGGTTGACTAATTGCAAAAGGAAAAAGAAAACTGCCCCAAAGAGACCGTTAGGTAAAGAAAGGTGATATTCACCTCTCCCCACCAGAAGGGAGGTCAGGGCATCCAAGGAGATGGCGTCAAGCAGTTACGCACAACCCTTTGCAAACATCAGCAACCCCAGCCAAAACTCACTTTCCATCCACAGCCTCCACTATCTTGACTGCAATCTCCTGCTCGTACAGAGTCCGCAGCATCCGATCCCGCCTGTCTTTCCGACGCTTCAGATTGATCATGAAAATCTGGGTGGGAGAGAAAGACATCAGCCTCCCCGCTTGGGAGGGAGGAAGAAAAGGGGAGTCCTGAGCCACCCTCTTCCAGCAGCCCCACTGGAAAAGCAGATCTTACAAAAATAACCGGCTGTGTTTTCATTCCAGGTTGCTTAGAGTTTGTCAAAAAATTGGAGTTGGTTTTGAGTTGAAAGCTTAGAGGCTTGTTTGCTGTCTAACGACTGCTTTTTATGGACGTTCACAGGGGAAACTTGCTCTTTGAGGATGAATAAAGGTCAGAGGAGACCAGTTATAGCCAAGCCTATAATTTCCAAAGCTATAGGATGTTTGGATTTCTATTAAACACAGAGTAACATGGGCATCTCCAGCCTCAGTCCTAGAGGAACCCTGCCCCATACGTTTCTCCACAATGCTGCCGCTGCCTCTATTTAGGATTATCCGTGGGGCCACCATCCAAAGCGCAAGGATACGGTAAAGAGAGGATTTTTGTAACCTCTTCAAGCCCTGAAAAATCTGCTGCTGGAGTAGAAAGTCCAGCGGCGAGCCAAGACCGGGAACAGAGTCTGGGCAGGGTTCTGTCCAAGCTCGAGCAGACAGACTCTCCATGGAAGGGCAGAGGACCGATGCCCTCATTTGCAGGTAAACTGCAGAGGGGCAGGGATATTTTTCGGTCCCAGGCAGACAAGTACAAGTGCAGCCTTGTAGCCTGTGGAGCGAAATCTCATCCCAGTAAAAAGGGGATCAAATTCCAGCTCGGTACAAATGCAAAAATAATAAACTGGATAAATGAAGCGCGGCCACAAAGGACAACATGGAAAAAAACCTACACCAGCTGTGTCCTAAACACAGACGGCTCAAACACACGTAGCCAAATCGGGTTCAGACTTTAGGAGTCACATAAACAGATGTAGCAGAATACACCAAGAAAGCAAAGGCTCCCCTGATGGCCACAACCCCCTCGGTCACAGTGCCGCTGCCACCCCGGGTTGCTGGCTCTGGGAATAACACGGATGCTGGTTAACGAAAGCGCAGCAGAGCCCTCCCCAGCCCTCTCCCCTCGATGCCTGCTCTCTCCACAACGTGAGGTAGAGTTGGGAGAGGAATTTCCGTGGGGTTTTAGGGCAGTACCAGCATCACCAACCACCTTTCTCATTCACTTTTACCTAAGGCCACAGTAGAAAAACGGGGCAACCAAGCAGGGCAGGGGGAGAGCTGCCCCGGTAAGGAGCCAGCACACGTGGTTTTCATCACTCCTGGACGTCCCCAGGTTGGGCGAGGACCCCAGGTGAGAGCAATTGTTCCCTTCTGTCACTGGAAAGCAGGAGAGGTTTCCCAAAAGACCAATTTTTGGCACAGAACGGGAGGACTGTCAACCTGCTCTGCAGTCAGACGTAGAGGAAGCAGCACAAGAACTGGGGAGTTCAACAACCTGGTTTTCACCCTCACTTCTGCCATATCCTTCTGGTTGGATTAAAACATCTATACCATTAAGACAGGAAAATGCCCAAAGATCTGCCGGGCACTGTCCTTGCACACAAATCCTCACTTCTAATCAGGGGTCTTGTAGCAGGTCCCAAGTGCTGGCAGACCTGACCGGCCTCGTTTCGTCACAGCAAACACCAGAGAAGACGACTGCTCCTGCAGCCCTTTCCCTTTTGCTTCCCTCAGCTCAATAAGGATGGCTATTTTCTCCTTGCAAAAGGTTTAAGTCCAAAAGATGAGTGCTTGGGAAAGAGCTAACTATGTGAAAAGATAATATACTCTGAGGGAAACAGCTAGAAGCTCAGGGAGAACCCAAGTCCTCTAGGCGACGAGAGGGAAGACAAGACAATAACAGCAAAATAGGTTCCTTACTTCATCAAATCCCATCTTGTCGGGGTGCTTCGGAGGAACAGAGACATACCGAGAGGGTTCAATGGGAGGACGGTCGACTGAAAAACAGGAGAGATCCCAAGCATCACCTTGATGTACGTGCTGCATCGATACAACCTGTCTGCACGTGCTTTCATCGCCAGGACTAAAGCCCCCGGGGGCTGGGATGCGAAGGCAGCGCAGGAGCAAGTAGAGCAGAAAGCATCCACGTCGCAAAGCAGAAGCCAGCGCAAGGATGGGGTTCTACAGCATCCTTTCCACATTAAAGATGCATTTTCGCATTTGATCTGGGGAAGTCGAGAGATTTTGTGAACGGAGTTGACCTGACCGTGAAGTGATTACATCAACTAGGTAGAAAAGCGGCGGAAAATGGAAAACTGCGTATCACACCGGCACGAGAGCGGTCAGATCAGGATGCAGATTCCCAGGGGAACGGGAGCTGGGTCGCTGGCAGGAGGCTTCTACAAACATTAACCTGGATGGGGGCCATCACGGCAGGGCATAGCAACTTACTCATAGCCTCGATGAGCGTGTGCACAAAGTTCTCGGCTTCTTCTTGCAGTGTCTGGTGCGATTTCAGGGGCATGGGAAGGAAACCGTAATGTTCACGGTTGCAGATGAACATCTGGATTCCTGGAGATTACAGAAAAACAGAAATCAGAATCAGCTCTTTTACCAGCGGATTTTGCTGCTCTGTTGCTAAGTAGCCACAACTAAACTTACGCCAGGACCTCAGTCCCAAAAAGTTCTGCTTCGTAAGCAAACAATTCAAAAACATCACAGCGCCATTTTCTGTTTTATTCGGCTGGCAGCAAGTGGCTTCTCCTACAAAACCAATTTCTACGTGCTCCCTAACAGCAGGTATTTTTAACTGCAATCAGTTTTCTCCTGGGAGAGACTGGGAACCCTTCTTTTAGACCAGAAAAAGGGCCTTTTTTGGCTTTTCCCTTCACACTATGCAAACAACCCTACAGCAGAGGGCAGAACCAGCCTTCAGCACAAGCAGCATCTGATACACCCAGCAGGACTGCTGCGGACAACCGGGGGGCACCCCAGAAACCCCCATCCCCAACACCCCACCAGCCCTGCTCAAGACCTTGCACCTCCCCTGAGAATCCCTTCACAGACCCAGAGCCAAAAGCAGAAACAGGTTTTGATCTTCCAAATAAGCCAGCCTCAAGCGATGCAACGGATGGGTGCGGGTCTATCAGGGAGGGCAACCTTAGAGAGGGGAAAGATTCCAACAAACCCAACGTGGCTAGGGGTGATGGAAGCTTTTGTCTGAGCTTTGCAAGGATTTTCTGTCAGACCGCCATAAATCTGGAATAACTCTGGCAGGGCTGAGGAGCCAAGTCTGATCCTCAGGTTCAAGAGCACACGGTTGCCCAAAGGTGGGTCCAGGCAGCTCAGCGCCCCTGGGATGGCAGGGGATGAAGCTGCGAGGCCCAAGGCATCGGTGAAGCTGTAGGGGCTGTTACTAGCCTAGCAAGGGATTCACAGTCCGGGTTTTGCAGTCGAGCATCTTCCTGCTTCTGTTTGCTTTGGCTAGAAAATAAAGACAATATATTGTCACCTGTGCTGGCAAAGGACTTTGAGGAATATAGAAGATAACCATCTTGGAAGCGCCAAGTCTACCACCAAACACGGTCCTTTCCTCTCCAGGACTAGTTTTTACTGAAGATTAGAGGAAAATCCTAGAGAGAGCCACCAGCAAGGAGAAAAGATGCTTTCCGAAAGAAGCGATGACATGAACATCCTTCTACTCAAAAGCTCTTGCAGCAGCTTGTTCAAGGTCTGAAGGTGTGAAACAAAGAGAAGGTGCAAAAGCTTTTCCTCAGAGCAGCTGCCTTTGCAAGGGAGAGACCACCCCACTGCTGGGAACGACCCAGACATAGAATTGGTGAAGGGAAAACATTTCCGTCGTTTTTCATTAAGCTCTGGGAAGGTCCTTTATTAATTAACCACAATCCGAAAGCTGCAAGAACCCATACAACCGGTCAAGCAGACTTAAATCAAAAAAAAAAAAAATATGCAAACTTGCCTTTCTTTTTCTTCTTCCCCCCTCCCCCCGTTTTTTTTTCTTTTCTTAAAACGAAACAAGGACAACCACCCTCCCTCCCCCTAGGAAACAAATGGAAAGCAGACACTACCCAGTGTTTTGATGCTTTCATGTATTAGTCCCCCTAATCCTTGGTATTTTTAGCAGAGCAGAATTGTCTGCATTAATGACCCCCGTGTTTCTACCATTTTAAGTTCTGCAAGTAAATTGCTGGCTACGCTACTTGCCAAAACACATTCAGCCGTCAGCTGCAATTTAGGTAAATGGCAGAATAAAAAAAAAAAAATACTACCCGCTGACATTAATGGATTTGGCACTGATCTAATCAACTAATCTTATCCGGCTCGCTGATCTCCGTTCTTATCTTCTGCTGGCTTAAACACAGTTAATCTGCACAGACTCACGTCAGTATTTCTGTTCCTTCTGGGATAAAAGCTACTTTAGAATGGTAAAGCTACCTTAAAACGAGGAGGGGGGATTCGCTCCCCAGCTCTGGTTTTACAATAAAATAAATGATGGCTACACGGGACAGAAAAGCTATAGATATCTGTATTATTATTAGCCTTTGTAAGGCCGTGACAAGGATTCACAGCCATGCCCTAAACCCACAGCCACATTCAGACAACCTCAATTTCCCCCACATCCCTGCGACCGGACCTTCCTGCTGGCTGGCTCCTGGTCTTCGGAGCCTCAGGTTGGAAGGAAGCTCCGGAGATCTGGCCGGCTAAATGCAACCTTGTGAGTGCAGGGGGCTCTGCAGAGTCCACCTCTGTCTAGAAAACCCTCCCATCGAGTTTTGTTCCCAGTCAGTACTCCCACCACAGGCCACGTCTTCCTCAGCAGAAGTGGGATGGGCTCTTTGGAGCATCCCAAACCAGCTGCTTCCAGCAGTAGCTTCACTGTTGAAAAATCGATGGTTTGACCTGAGGCGTTGAGTGCAGTACTCGGTCTGGACAAAAGCCAACATCACTTATGACTTCAGGGAAATACATGAAATTACTCCGAAGAGAAGTTTACCTCAAAGTCCACACATTTTTCACATTTCTGAACTTGGACGTCATCCTTTTATCCTGGGTGACAAAACTCAGCCCAGGACACAAGCCAACAATCTGAGCAGATCAATGGGCCGGACTGCTGAAGCAAAGCCTTTCATGTCATGGGTCAGTCCTGGAAAAAGCTAAAACGTTCTAGGATGGAAGGAAAAAATGATGGGTTTGAATCCCTGAAATATTTCTTAAGCGGCTGGAGCTAACGCAATGCAGTTACCACACTCACTGGATGCTGCATTTCTGGGAGAGCTGTCAGAGGGAACAAGCGGGGAACAGGGTAGATTTGAAGGAGCCTGCTTTGCTACCCAGATTTAAACCTCAATTCTGCTCTGGACTCAATATACCGGTGTCCTGACTCTGAAAGTCAGGGCCCCAAAGGTGCCCTGCAAGTTGACATCCCACCTCTGCCTCCAAAGGGCTATAACTTCAGCTCTCGCTGCCTCCCCTCTCTCATTCGTCTTTCTCATTTGCTGCCCTTCACCCTCTTGTAGCTGAGTTTTAAAAAGCCCTGCTTAGTCTGCCAAGACGATGCCATTTTTCTTGATAAGGTCCCAAACTTTCCCCTTTTCAACACAGCAGGGCAAAGAACAATAGAGATGGCCACTATAACCATATCCTGCCCAGGAGCTCCTCTCCGCTCCGACACCGCTACGTACAGGTCTGCCAGCCAGGACTTTGCTGGAGACCAAATACCCGTCAGATCCCCTCTCCAAAAAGAAATGGGACTAAACATCCTCACCACAAGTACAAGCAGCAGTAGTAGCAGCAGCGCGCCCTTCAGACACCGTGATTTCTCCGAGAGACCTGCAGCTCTCTGCAAACACCACCAGCCATTCCAGACAACGGAAGAGGACGTCGAGGTTGTGACTTGGCCTGAAAGGACCTCTGTCTTTCAGGTCTAACTGAAACCCTCCCACCGCCCAGTAGAACCTGACCCCCGTATCAGCCAGAGCAGTACGTATTTTCTCTCCGCTGCGCCCCAAGGATCTCAAGGCAGCTCGGTGCTCGACTGGTTCTCCCAAAGTACCGACGATACAACATCAAATATGTGAAGATTTTAATGCTCACACACCAGTTCTAACCTGCTTTGGCCTGCAAGAGATTTCATAGAATCACAGAATGATTTGGGTTGGAAGGGACCTTAAAGCTCACCTCGTTCCAACCCCCTGCCCTGGGCAGGGACACCTCCCACCACACCAGGTTGCTCAAAGCCCCATCCAGCCTGGCCTTGAACACTTCCAGGGATGGGGCATCTCTCTGCGCAACCTGTGCCACTGCCTCACCATGAAGAATTTCTTCCTTATATCTCATCTAAATCTTCCCTCTTCCAATTTAAAGCCATTGCCCCCTGTCCTATCACTCCCTGCCCTTGTCAAAAGTCCCTTCCCAGCGTTCTTGTAGGTTCTCAGCACAGCCTGCAGACTCCACATCGTTCTCCTGAAAGTTGCACTGATTTTGCTTTAAAAAAGAAAAAAGAAAAAAAAAAGACAAAACACCCCCCCGGTACCTCGCAGACAATTCCTTCTGAGCTGCCATGAACCAACGCCTCATTGCACTGCGGGTAAGCAACTCGGGTTTTGTTTTCCACAAGGGCTGCTACATTTAAAAAGAATCTCTTGCCCTCTCCCTCATGGATCTCCTGGAAGCGGTGACTTTGGATACCTTACCTGCAGACTTCAGAATACCTTCCACTCGCACAGCATTCGCTACTGTCTTGCTGTGACACAAATCAAAGGTGGATGCCACGCGTTTGGTCTCTGAAACATTGCCCTCAGCCCAAGAATGGCTCCCCGTGTCCTTTGAAGCTAGCTGTGATTCAAAACTGCATTGTCAGTCCCTTGCTGTCCCTGATCCCTGACCAGAGCCAAAAAAGAGAAGGGAACAGGGTCTTAACTCACCCCTGAAGTCAACACTGGGAACTCCAAGTAGATGTCTGCACGTCCCCTACTAGCAAATCCTGCCCAGCAAAGGCTCCAGGCATACCTGCTTGGCGACTGGAGAAGGCAAAGACCATGATATCATCAAAGCTCCAGGTGTAGTCTTGGTGGGGGGGGTAGAACATCAGCTTGGTGGAGGCCTCTTTCCTCAGGTCAATGAGGAAGGTGGAGTGAATCATCGGGACAGCAAAACAGCCCGTCCTCTTCCATTCCCGAATGAGGGGATAATCCAAGGTCCTTTTGTAATAGCCCTGCAATCACAACGAGGGGGCTGCTTGTTACAAGAGATTTCTGTTTCATAGATGCTCCTCAGCCAAAGCTCTCACCCTTAGCCCTCCCCAGCAGAGATGGATCAGTGCTCTATTCCCAGATTTTTAAGTGCCTCCCATTTGGAAAGGGCTCCGTCAAGTATTTAGAAACAATCCCCATCCCAAAAGTTAAAGTTTGACCTTCTCTCTCCTTTTTAGCAGCTGTTGGAAATCTGTGCCTTTCCATTGCAAAATTCCCTGAGCTTCAAACCTCAGACTATTTTCTCCTGGCTCTTCAAAAACCCTTTTCTGCACACAGACTCTCAAGGTCTGATCCTGGAAGCTGCTGAGCATCCGTGACATCCTCCAAGTTCAATAGGCACAAAGGACATTCAGTGACTCACAGAATGGGACCTGTAAATTATTTCTTTAGAACTTTTAAAAAAAAAAAAAAGAAAAAAATCATCTGCTTCGCTGCAAGGCGAAGGCAACATCTCAGCCTCCATCAGCTGGGTAAGAATCCCAGACAGCAGATTTAATACTCAACCCCTGAGCTCTCCCCACAGAGCCCGTCTGGGGGAGGCACTTGGGTCAGATCATCTCTCTCCAACCACGAGCCTTGCTACCTTCCAGCGCCGTGGGTGCAACACCCACACCGTACAGCTCACAGCTGGTTCTGCAGGTGCAATATGTCTAAAGCTATCAGATTTGGAAATAAATACACTGAATTCCTCCAGAGAGAAAATCCTAACGCACCCATTAAACATCCGGACACGGCTGACGGTTGAATCCAAGGCACATTGTGGTCTTTGCAGAAACGATGAGTCACTAAAATAAGTTAAAGTTACTTTTTGTTGTATTTTCCATGAGCACGCTAGGAACGGCTGAGCAAATCACTGCAGAACCACTTCACCCTGGGTTTGGGTAGAAGCACGGTGCGGTGCATTTGTCTGTTTATGTATCTGTCGATCTTCCCTTCTGCCCTTCAGATATTTAGGTCTCACAGTATGGTCAGAAGGCATCTCAAACCTCAGTCAGTCTGATTTTCATGAAAAGGAGTGGGTAGAGACCTTACTCTAGCATTCCCACCGAAGGAAGGGTTAAGACGTTCAACCTTCAACAGACATCCGAGAACGCCCACAGGTGAAAGATGCTGGCAATGAACCTTTCCTCCTCCAGACACTCACTGTGGGGGTTTTGGGGGCTTTTCACCGCCCATAAATCACGTGTAGTCAGGAAAGACTCCAACTTGTCAGCACCGTCGCCGTGCTCTCCTAAGGTCAGCCTCACCACAACTAAATGTCAAGCTGTCTGGAGCTGGGCTGGGCTCGCTGTTGCTCGGTGCTGGCGGCCGTGTTTCAGGGTGTGCTCCAACTGTTTCTCCCTCCTCAAGTCCTCAGGGAGAGGAAGGCTGAGAACACAGAGCTGTGGGACGGCGAGCACAGAAACAAGAAGCAGCAACGAAGAGAAAAGAAAAAAAAACAAAACAAAAAGAGAAAAAGAAAAAGAAAAAAGTGGGAACTTCCCTGTTCATTTGAGCAGCTTTTTCCATCAAATGCAGCAAGATGCATTCGCTGCTAGGTTTTTCCCTTCTCCTTTTCTCAGCTAATGCTGGTGATGATGGAAATTTGCTACTGGAGAGGTAAGGCTCGTGGCCAGGGCTGAGGCTGGTGCACGCAGGCAGAGATCCGCTTCAGCCTGCGGAGCGACGCCGAGTTACATCTGTGGCAAACCTGGCTGTCTCGGGACTGAACCTTAAAAACTTAAAGGACAATGCCTTTGCTATGAAGTTTCTATCTCCATTTTAAAACAAAAACTGAAACAAGTAAACATCTCCACACTCCCTTTTCTTATCTATATATTTAATTCCCAAGTATTTGGGAAAAAAAATAAAATAAAAAAATCACTGTGAGCTTTAAATATAAAGACCTTCCTCAAGAAATCATACAGGAGATTGCCAGAGGAGAGGAAAATATTTTGGGGAAGTATCATATTCACTTAGTTGTTTGCCATGTTCTTATACTACTCCCTAGGCATCTGCTAGGAACCGCTGCTATCCGATGGACCTCCCATCTGACCCAGTACAGTTCCTATGTTTTCACCCTGCCTGTGGTCCCTGCTTGTGTCCTTGATAACACCGGGAAGGAAGAATGATGTTTTACACCAGGTAAATAGAAGAAAGGGGAAAGAGAGTTTGCTCTTGGTTTCACTCCAGCAATAATGACAACAATTAGTATCTGCCTTGCTCTCTGGAATCAAGGAAGAGGGTAGGGAAGGGCAGGACCATGGAGCCTCTCTAAAGTTAAAGTACTCCTACTCACATGCCCCAGGGATGCTCAAAGATGTCCAGGCAGCTCAGGGTTAATATATAGTCTATGCAATAGGGCAAGCTTGTCCTTATGAAGGACGAAACACAAGACTCGGGCATGGAAGTAAAAAGGAAATCCTGAAGCTTTCCGGGGCCAATGTGGGCAAAGAGGGAAAATTTTCACCAGAACAAAAATCCTCTTGCTATTCTAGGAGATGTGCAGCTTAGGATCCTGCCTCCTCAAAGGGTGACAAAACACGTGCCAGCAGCCGACCCGAGAACAGGTCAAAAAGTTGTTATTATTGAGGCTTACCTGGGAGAAAAAAGCATTAAAAGTCCTCATTTCAGCCTGAATATCTTGGAAAGCCTGTCTAGAGCTTAGTCAAGAACATTTCAAAGGAAAAAGAGTGGAAAAAAAGGCAAAAAATTACTGTGACAATAGATCTGCCCTTCTATCCATTTGACTCGCTGAAATCCTTTTAGGGACAAGGAGATTGGGCTGGGTTTGGCTGGGATGCAGTTCATTTTCTTCATAGCAGCCCATACGGTGCTGTGTTTTAGACTGGTGACCAAAACAGCGTCCATCACGTGCCGGTGTTTTAGCTGCCGCTGAACGGTGTCTGCACGGCATCAAGGCCTTCTCTGTTTCTCATTTCGCCTCCTACAGCGAGTAGGCTGGGAGTAGGCAAGAGGCTGGGAGGGGACGCAGCTGGGACAGCTGACCCCAACTGACCCACGGGATATTCCATACCGTGTAACATCATGGTCAGCAATAACACCGCGGGGGAGTTTTTCCAAAGTAGCTGGTGCTCATGGAATGGCTGGGCATCCATCTCCTGGCAGCGAGGGACTGGTTTTTGCATCACTTGTTTGTTTGGGTTCTTTCCCCCCCCCCTCCCCTTCACTTACTAAATTATCTTTATCTCAACCCATGAGGGTTGCTTTTGGGTTTGTTCTTTGTTTGCTTGTTTTCTCCTGCTTTTGCCCTTTCAATTTGCACCCCCATCCCGCTGGGCGAGAGCAAGCGAGCGACGGGGTGGGGGCTTCCCTACCAGCCAGGGTCAACACACCACGGTGGTGTGGATCAACTTGTAAAGTCGATCAGCCTGTAACGACGTGGACCAATTTGCAAAGCTCAACCTCATTCTCGCTCTAAAAATAATGCTATTTCTCCTACACAACATTTCTGTATCTGATACTTTCTGCAGTATATGCGATTCAAAAAGGTAACACAAACCCCTGATTTCTAGGGTCCACACGTCTGGCCTTACACCAGTACTCTTTACACACACACACTTCAGCACACACACTCCCTACAATCCAAGGGTGTTGCCCCACTACATAAATCTTGTTCGTGTGTGAGAAAAATAACCTATACACAGTGGAGAGCTGCAGAAATAAAAGCAAATTCCTCTCAGGTGAGAGTCACTATACAGGAAAGCTAGTCTAAAATGATGTACCAAGAGTTTGAAGGCCATGATGCAAACACGTGGAACCACCTCAAATAAATTCTGGTGCGTGTATCAGTATTTTTTTATGTAGTTAGTGGGACTGTATCACTTCTCGGGACTTTCGACTAAGCAAGCTCAGCTTCCTCCAGATTCAGCTTTTGCAAGTGTGGAATCTCAGATAAGGAAGCAAGTTTCAGCTACGTGCCTGCACACCCAAAGCAGAACATGTATCGCTTTGCTCATACCTACAGCTTGGTTAGAAAATAAAGCCTGAAAAATATTTATATAGACTGCAATGTCCTCCCTACCCTTATTCTCAGATTCCCTACAAACGTACGGACCTTTCCCAGAGATACCCACCCAAGATGTGGTGGGATGCCACCACTGGGAGAGGCGCAAGCTGAGATGACACCGCTATCCTCACTACGTGCGAACATCACCTCTGCATGCCCCAGAGCTACAGCAGCTTCTTGTCAGGAGGAGGACACTACAAAAGCAGGTGGGAAAGCCCACAGAACAGAAACGATGCCCACTGCTTCACAGACACGAGGCGGGAAGCCTTTGAAAACATAGTTTGCATTGTCACCCAGCACCGTTCACGCGGTCACTTGCCTGCGGGGTGATGCCACCCCAGAAGTTAGAGTAGAGAGAGCGAGACTCAAGCATTGGTGCCACCAATGTCTTGTTTTCTGCTATCATCAGGTTCAGGGTTTGTGGGTTGGTCAGTAAATTATCTGCGTCAATGAACTAGAGAAGGAAGAGAAAAAGAAATTTGTTATTAGATGAAATGATATGCTTCCCTGACACCTTCCTGGGAACGAGGCAGCCAGAGGCATGAGGATGGCCAAAAAAAAAAAACCAAACCAAAAAGCACTGCGCTGGTGGTTTTGATACCGTAGGGCACACCACTCTTCTAGGGAAACCCAGGGGTGGCTGCCTCTATGACAAAGCTACGAGATGGAAAAAGATGCGGACCTTCCCTCCGACTCCACATAACGTTACTCCAGCGCAGGGGCAAGGGAGCTGCGAGGGAAAATCACGTCACTCAAAATGCAGGACAAGTTTATTCTGTGAAGAGGATCAAGAACAACTCTTAAAAAACTAGCCTCCCACCCTCGCCTCGTTCAGAGGCTGTGGGAACACCACCGTTAACTGCTGCTGTAGTGACCAAAGGCGTGCACCTTTCCACAACCGTTCCGCAGAACTATTTCCCTTACATTTTCTCAATAACAGGTGGGGTTTCAAGCTGGGGGACCCTCACAGGTACCTACCACCCACCACCAGGACTACATTCAATCCCGACCGCTGCGGAGAAAGCTTTGGGCATAGCCAGGGTCTTCCCTCCCTAGCTCCAAAGTCTCTTGCTCCTCAGATCCAGAAATGACTTTAGAGGGACTTTAGATGACTTTAGATCATTTGTCTTTAGATGGAGAGGAAACTTTTTGACGGCCCCAAGTATCAAAGCGACTACCTGAAAAGCTTTTGCCCGAGGACAGTTAATAAATCAAACCTTGTATTTACCAGGATGTAGTCCGACCACTTCTCTCGTGCAGCACGCAGGGCAGCCTGGCGCAGTTTCATCACATGAGTAAATCGGGAGCTTGGCCAATGTTTTGGCCCAATTTCTTCTGGGTAAGACCTAGCA